TATTAAAGAAATCAACACGTATTTATATATATTTCATGTACATTATTATAGATTATTATAAGCAAACAAACAGTCCTCTGATTGGTTGTTTCTCACAGAAAGTTGACCTTGCATCTCTTTGTGGCTGCTGTTTCTTGAATGTCAGATCATCTATATGATGTTAACTGTATCCGCCTACGCAAAGTCTGCTGTGGCTGTTAGTTGAATCTGTCTTTGTTCATATTTTCTCACGACCAGTATTTGAGACATGCACATTGACGTAAATTAATGTCCACCAATTTTGACTAACAGCCAGCTCTCACCACAGTAGAATTTTCCAGATGTCTGGGTGAACAGGTCTTGAATCATTCCTATTACACATGTTGATTTGCAGTTGATTCGATAAACAAAGCTTCTGTTATCAATCTCTCTCTCTCCATTCACCCTGTGACATTAGATTTTAAAACTGTCATCCTATCCCATCCCAGCCTATTGTATGATTGCGTGTAATTGCATATAGTGAGTGGTATAGCTGAACTATTCTCTAGATTTCTTATCTGATTCAGGTTAACTTATCTAGATTTTGCTGCTAGGTTTTTTATGTTCGGCTAGTCTGACTACCCCTGTTCTACTAGTTTGATCTATGTATTTGACCTGATAATCATTCCAGCAGGGTATCAGACAAGCTAAATTGTTTTGTTTGACCGGCTCCACAGGATTCTTTAGCTGAAAAAGCCTGTTTCTAAATGAGTTTGCGGGTATTTGTAAGCCACTTTTATTCCTGCCTGTTTTGTTAAGAACTCTCCTTAACGTTTCCGAGGTTCCTTCCTTCTTCTGTATACAGAAGATGATGCGAACTAGCATAAATTAGTTTATCATCATTTCTCACAAATATTGTGATGGAGTTACTATGCTGATTCATCATTTCTCAAGCGTATTGCAGTTTAATGTGTGATCAATTCACCAACTTTCGTCTCACCTAGGTCTTTGTCGGATCGTCAACCAACCAGAATAGCTATCGCCGCCAACCAGTAAAAACAATCCATTTCTACTGCTGTGAGTCGATCTTATTGTTGTGAACAGAATGTATAAATACGATGTGTTGTTTCCTAATAAATATATACAGTGTCGAAAACAGACAGACAGACTTACATTCACAGGTCAACCTTTATCTTTTGATATTTGCTTGACTCAGTGAATCGGAAGGTACAACAAACGAATAGGCGTATTATACCATACCAGTCGAAGTTCATTACACTTATAACAATTACCGGTGCAGATTATAACAGAAGTACTACTGATGATTCGAAGTAGTGTGATTGTTATTGTGATATGATTATGAACAATAAATTGTGTTCGAAACTTTGTCATCCAGTAAATAATAATACTTATCACTAGACTAACACCACCAAATTTTCCATCACTTTACAAGAAACTCGCCTCTTATAATGTTCATATATATTATTAATCCCTTGCCATCCGAGTGGAACATACGGCTGGCTTCAACAACATATCTCCACTTTGTTCTGTTTTTTGCCGTCCTCTTCAGCTGGCTAGTTCCACGATTGACCGAACTCTCTCATCTCTTCCTTTCCACACGATCTCCTCCATGTCACCCTCATACTGACCACCCACTTGTTACTTCCCTTTCGTGTTCCACTAGAGCAATGGCTTGTCTAGTGATGTCACTTGATGATGGTTTGTTTTCTCAGAGTATGGCCAATCCACCATAATTTCTTCCTGCAGATTTGTTTCACAATTGGTTTCTGCTGGGCTGGTTCGCTCCCAGAGATCCTTCCCTGTTGCTGATCTTTTTTAGCCGGCCATCTGATCTTGAGTCGTATTGAGCGAAGACAACTGTCAATGAAGGTCTGTAGTTTGTTAGAGATGCTCTTTATGACCCAGCGCCAAGTCTCTGATCCGTATAGTAAGTAGCACTGACTGACTTCACATTGGAATTGGAAATCCGGATCTTATTCTCATTTTCATGCTGAGTGATGTTGACCTCCACACAGACTTACCTCTTATCATATACATATATATTATTCCCTTGCGTTCCGAGTGGAACATAGGGCCGGCTTCAACAACACACCTCCACTTAGTTCTGCTTTATGCCGTCCTCTTCAGCTAGCTAGGTCCACGATTGACCAAACTCTCTCATCTCTTCCTTTCCACACGATCTCCTCCATGTCACCCTCGTACTGACCACCCACTTGTTGCTTCCCATTTGGGTTCGACTCGAGGGCCTGGCACACGATTTTATTCAACGGCCTCTTCAATGTATGTCCGATCCATCCATCTCCACTTTCTCATACATATTTGTTGAGTGATTGGCTCTCTCCTGTTGGTTTGTTCCCATAGTTCCTCGCTGTTTATTCTTTCTAGCCATCCGGCCATTTGATCTTCAGCTTGGAATCAGCGAAGTCAGCTGTTGATGAAAGTCTACAGTAACCTGTTGGAAATCCTTTTTTTGATACGCAGTGCAAGATTTTTACCCATATAGAAGGTTCGACTTGATATGGGTGTTGAAAATGTGAATCTTGTCCCTTATGCTGAGTACAGAAGATTTCAAATTGGTTTCAGGTTGATGAAGGCGACACTGTCTTGCCTTTCCAATTCCGACTGGATTTGACATCTTCGTCCGTTCCATGGGCCTCTAGTTGAAACGATGCTTCCCAAGTCAGTGAGGGAGGCAACCTCTGTTAAATCTCCCCCGTTGATGGTATATATATATATATATATATATATATATATATATATATATATACCAATGATATGATGTAATTTTGTGATCCTGATGATTTGTATCATTATGACTACCTTACAACAATCTTGTTTACTGGAGGACTGAATCATGGTGATTAACAAAATGCATGTTAAAACTACATGATAACTAATTTGATGAAATAACGTAGACTGTAAACAGCTGAAGAGAACCAACGAGGTAAAAATGAATCGATATTATTCTATACCACTTTTATTTTGTTCTATGTTTGTTCAGATATTTAAAAAATCGGGGGAAATCGTATATAACTTGACTCTCACTAAGTTGTGCAATTAGACAATCATGTGGAATTTACAATCACTGGGAGGTAGCTAACGTGCAGTAGTCGGCTAAGATAATAGCAAATGAGAACCAATATTGTGTAAGATAAGTGCGACAGTGGTCAATACAGAATTTAAAATACTTAAAATCGTACTTTTAGTATACCCAGATGAATTATATAGTTACAGTCCAGTGAATTCTCTAAGTACGTAGTTATGCGGAATAAGTGGTGAGGTTAAACTGTGACAGCCAAAACGACAATGACCTTGAATAACCAATCAGAATTCACACTTAAAAAGTTGCATAATCGTTGAGAAATGGACTGAAAACCACTGCTAACATGATATTGTAACAAGAGAAGGCAAGACACGGAAGCCAAAGTATATTTTTCACTAATCAAACCTCTTTTTAGATATCTAAAGTTTATATTCGTTAACCAATCAATCACTGAGCGTGTGATGTCAGTTTACATCCAACGACATGAAATAGAATGTTCAAATGGATATATCGTATTCTGTTGCTAATGAGGATTTGAACTGTGGGAACATATGAGAATAACATTCCGTTGGCCCACACTGTCGTCTGTATTACACCACCACAATTATACACTACATAGATGTCGGTTACTTGGTGTACGATCTGTGCAGAAATCATAGATGCATTCAGCCAGGTAACTGTAAGTCACGGTGTGGTGAGAGCTGTCTGCTAGCTAAAATTGGTAGACAGCAATTGACGTCAATGTTTGCGTCCCCAATCTCGGACATGAGAAAAAAAACGAGAACAAAGACTAACTCAACAACTAACCACAGCAGACTTAGCGTGGGCGGATATGATTCGCAGATATATATCAACGGACTGTCTAAGAAACGGCCACAAAGAGATGCCAGAATAATCTTCAGCAAGAAGACAACCAATCAGAAGACGTTACCTCTCTGCTAGTAATAACGAATAATAATGTACATAAAAATCTATAAACATGTTTTGATTTTCTTAATAAACAATCTGTTTCTTGGACCTTGTCTTCTGTCGTTACGATGGTACTTTGAGATCTGTTGATATTTCCGACACTCTTCTTTAACCTACCTCCTTACTCTAAACATAATCCTAACCCGAGACCCTAATCTAAAAAGCCATCACCCAACCTAGCAGCATAGATATACAGAAGAAGTACCTAGTGAAATAAGCAGAATACTGTATCTACATTCTACATGTCGAAAAAAGCAGGCATCGTTTGATTTAACATGACCACTGACAGCATTCCCGGTACCTGATTGCTTCTCAAAGGTCAACTTTCGCTATGATAGTATAACTTCGTCAATAAGTGATGCGTCCGAAAGAGTCATGTTTATTCAGCATGCGGTGCCACGGCCCCAGAAGATGAGAAATAAGGCATGTATTGAGTTCATTTCTAACAGCTTGACAACCCATTTTCTTCAGTATGTGGTGAGAGCAGTCTGCCAGCCAAAATTGTAGACAACAATTGGCGTCAATTTCCACGTTGTGAATCAGGGTCATGCGAAAAAACAATAAAAAGCTTAACCCCGTGGAAATCACCAACCAATCACAGCAGACTTAACGTGTGCAAATACGATTCGCAAATATATGGCCTAACTTTCTGAGAAACGGTCACAAGCAGTACAGAATAACCTTTAGCAACAGAAGAACCAATCAGAAGACGTTGCTTCTCTACTTACAATAACGCTAATAAGAATGTACATGAAAATCTGTAAATATTTGTTGATTTTCCAAATAAACGATGTGTTGCCTAATCCTTGAATTCTGTCGTTACAAGTAAGCAGTTAACCTACTACTCTTCTTCAAACTTTCATTTTTAACAAGTACGATTCGAAATGAATGAAGCACAACACACAAGGGATGAACAAATGTTTTTATTTTTATTATTATTATTATTAATGCATACAGAAATTAAATGAGAATATAAAAAATTATACAAGACGCGGTTGACATCAGTCGATCAATCTTGTGATGATGCATTCTCTGGTACATCATTTTGTGACGACAACAGATTGTCAAGTCTCTTGGTAAATTCATCCATTTCTTCAATACAAAGATCCGGGTTTCTTTGATGAAGACGTGCAATAAGATTTTGAAAGCGTTCATACTCTTTACGGAATTCATCACTTGTATTCGATACTTCAGATGTATTTTCAGACATTATCTAATTGTGGATCAAAATTTAAATTTATTATTACTAATATAAATACATACCGAATAATGAGACAAAAATGGTTAACGAATACAATCCTATGAGATATCAATCATGAAATTATGAAGGAGACGATTTATTTGTGTGGTTACATTACTATTCTCATGAAATGTGAGGGATTTCATTGGTCGTCCTCGTCGTCGTCGTATTAGTAGTAGTAATATTAAACCAATCCAAAGACATTAGGGTGTGTATGTGTGTGACTCATTCCCTGCACTTTCTTCCCACTCATAATAAGACGACCTGTTGTCAAGGTAACAGGGTAAACAACATCTACATGATAATCCTATTCATCGAGTGTATCAGAATTAAAATGCATTGATACTCCACTTAACTCATATATCATGCTATGTGTTGAACGACCTCAGCGAAATGACAATAAAAACGACGTGTAGCCAAGTTACTGAAATGAAAGAGGATCAATTATGATTGTGAAGTAGAATTTGCATACCCACACACACACACACATATTTATTCTAATTTATCTATTTGATGAACAACTTGATGATAATAGCATGTCCTTCACCTTCAATCCTTTCTTATAATGATATTCGTGCATAACTGGAGGGTCATCCCAAACACTCAAGAAGTTGACATGTTTAGACTATTTAGATAGGTTATATTGTAGATGTACTAATGAACTGAAGCCTAACTGACTTCCCCGACTACGGGTTTGACTTGTTACCGTCAGGGAATAATCTCGTTGACTTAGAATAATGAAGATGATATAGCCCTTCTCGGTGAAAAACCTCCTAAATACTTTGAGCAGCAATCTTAGAATGTTCGTGATGCAATTCTTTCCCGTCAAATGTAGATGATGAAACTACAGGACTGGACTACATTAACTTCTAGATATGATACGGAAGGGGGTGAAGTGGTAGCGCGTTGACCACTTCACTGATTTGAAGGAAAGTCCTAACAGTCCCAACGTATTGATCGCTGACGAAATCTCAGCACAGATACAGAAGTCTACTTTCGCATCTCTGGCTTAGTGGATGTGATAATCGGTTGGCTATGGACTAAAGGACGTGTATCCTGCTCAGCAGTTATCTCAGTCCTCCTTCATTATGGCTGTGAGTGTAATACGGTCACTGAAAGTGGAACACATGAAAAGGTTAACTATCTATAATCGCAGGTGTTTCCGTTCTTTCTCCCTTGTTGAGTAGTATAATAAAGTGAACAATAATGAGGTTAGGCCTCAGTCGAGTGATAGATGAGAAGGCTGTGAAGCTACACCGATTGAGATGACTAAGACATGTGTTACGCATGTCTAGCCATCATCTTTATCAGCAATGAGCAATGTTGGCTGAAATAGGATGGGGTCAGGTTGGAAATGAGCTAGAGTTGGTCAAACCAAAATATAGCTTTATCAGTCGATGAAGCTAGCCAGACACGTACGGAGATGTAGACTGCTGGCTGGTCCGAGTCCACGGGATTCTAAGAACCAATGATAGCTGGAGACAATTAGTAATATGCCTCGATATCGTTGTCAATGGCTGGCGCAGATGCATTCACTATTTGTTCTGTTCTTTTCCCTCACGCTTCTGTTTGTTGTCTGTCTTTACTCTCTTTGCTTGCTTTGTGTGGTACATGGAGGGAGTGTAGCAACTTGAACTGTTGCACTACTGTGCAAATTTCTATGTTGAAAACTGTCGGTCATACATTGCACTCGTACATCCATTTCTATAATTTCAAATAGTTTCACACACAAGTCTTATCTACACACAAGCCACAAGGAATAGGATTTATCGTTATTTCAGAAGATTGTGTCAACTGCTATCGTTCCTTACACGCTAAAAACATATACAGTTGTTTTCCCTTCACTGAGGGAAGCCAAGCTAAGTGAAGATCTCCCTTTAATAATAGTCTCTAGCGTTATCTATTCCCTGTGAGAAAACCAATCAATCAAATTTAGCTAGCTCACTAGCAGAAAAATAGACCAATAGGAGCCGACCTAGCCAGAAGAGACTGAAAACTGTCTGTAGCTATTTTTCAACATGCCGTATATTTTTTTTCCGTCCTGATTGGGGACTTTTCGGCTCATAGGTGAGCTCGCAAGACATTCAACCACGGGAAACCAATCGAAAAAGTGGCCCATAAATATCAAAACTTGTGCTAATTCACGATAAACATATAATGCGACCGACATTCGGTGTCATAGACGAGCAACTGTTCTGTTATATGACTTATTGGATCTTACTGTTCGAGGCTTCTCGTTAGAATTCCAAGTAACCACCTCTTGTATTCAGCCAGTCATCAGTATGGGTATTATAAATTATCAAGTGTCAAATGCAGGGATTTAAGTGGTTACAGGTTTCATAGCCACCTAGCTGTCGAGCTGACATGAGCTTGACACTCCTCAGAAATACACCTTGTGACCCGAAGATTCTAGGTTCAAAACACATTAAGGGTTGTGTACTTCTGAAGAGTCTCGAACTAGGAAGAAACATCGGTCCAATACTTCCTGATTTTCCAGTGGTTCTCTAACTGATGTCACCTCCTGATCAAACCTGTAACCAACACTCCATAATTTCGTAGCGTTTATTTACAATCACTTTATAACTATCATGGTTCAAAATAGTGAACTAACGTGTGTTCTAGAGTTGGTTTGTAGGAATTGTGATTTGTTTTCAAGTTTGACCACGGATGGATATCAATTAAAGAGCTGTTGGAAACCAGTACTAGAGTACTCGGCAGATCTTCTCTGCTAGTTCGGGAATCTTCGTCAGTACGTCACCATTGTGGTTCAAAAACCCAGGAGCTTTGGCAGTTACAAGAGAAGCTGGTGGTTGCACTAAAATTAGGATTTTTCAGGAGTTATTATTCATGGGTTGGTCATTGAGTTGGTTGCCGCCAGTGTCTGAATGGCCTACGAACTTGTTTTGTAACCAGAAGGTTCTAGGTCAGAATCCTAGTCTGTCTGTCTGTTTTCGACATAGAACTTTGCACAAATGTGCGGAAGTTCAAGTCGCCACATTGCGTGTAGCACGCGAAGCAAGAGAAGAAAGTACAAGAAAAGCATAATAGAAACAGTGAGCAGAGGTGTGAGACAAAGGAGGAGTAATAACGAAGAACAAAACAGTTTCATTGAAGATCATAAGTCACAGGGAGTGGATACATCTGCGCCACTGAGAACGATTTTGAGCCATGTCACCAATTGTTTCCAACCATAGATTTTTACCGTCCCGAGGACCCCAACCAGTCAGGAAGTCTACACCTTCCTACGTGGCTAAGACCAACTGTTGTAGATTTCATTGACTGATGCCAAGTTTTTGTTTGACCGCCGCTAGCTTTTTTCCAGCCTAGAATCCTAGTGGGTGTGAACTGCTAATGAGTCCCAAACTAGAACAAAACAGCTGTCCAGTTACTACAGTACAAGTTTTTAATAGTTCTCTAACTGGTATCAATCCGTGGTCACACTTGAAAAATAAAATTTTTGACAACTGCTCATTTATATAATATAAAAGCGTGATTATATTTTAATAATAGGTTGAGTAGTCTATGGTAGTCAGACTGACTGGTTTCAACATAGAACTTTGCACTGATGTGCACCAGTTCAAGTCGCCACACTTCATTTAGGACACAGAGCAAGACAAGAAGGTAAAAGGAAATGCAAAACAGAAACAGTAAACAGAGAGATATGAAGCAAAAAGAATAGTAATATTGAAGAATATAGTTTCATTGAAAATTATAAATCACAAGGGGAGTGGATGCATCTGGGCCAGCCACTGAGAAAGATTTTCAGCCATATCATCGATTGTCCCCAGCCTTCACTGGTGTTTACCATCCAGAAGGACTCAACCAGTCAAGAAGTCTACATCTTCCTACGTGACTGGCTCAAAATAACTGTTGTGGATTTCATTGACTGATGAGGTCATGTTTTGGTTTAACCACCACTGGCTCTTTTCCAACTTGATCCGTCCTATGTCAGCTAACATTTCATGTCGAGGAAGGCGATGGCTAAGCTAGGCTAGGCATGCGTAACACATGTCCTAACCATCTGAGTTGGTGCAGCTTCACAGCCTCGTGTACTGAATCCCCCCCCCCTTACCTTGCACTGGACCGACGCCTAACCTCAATATTGGTCACCCTATTATACCACTTCACACGGAAGATAGAATGCAGGCAACTATGATCAAAGACAGCTAGGCTAGACTTCTCATATCTCCCACTCACAATGGCCAAGTCTAACTCAAAGGTCATAAAAGAGGACTGAGTGGACTGCTGAACAGTAACACACGCCCTTTGGTCCATAGCCAGCCGGATATCACGTCTACTATGTCAAAGACGGCATAAACTGGTATTTGCGAAACGAGCTGAGACTTCATCAGAAGTTGAAGTCTATTGTGTTTTCTGTACATACATAGTTTGGAATGCATGTGCTTCCACCAACACCTTTAATAACTTTGATGAATAGAAAGTTATGGTGACATGGTAACAATAATAATAATAATAATAATAATAATAATAATAATAATAATAACTGAGAGACAGTCATGAAATAGTATTGGTTTTGTGACCAGACATTAATAATAAATGCTTCACAACAGATGGTACTGGATTTCTATTCAAAGTCATTTTCAGTTAGATTTTCTATATGATTTAATAATCATTTACGAATATGTGCGTCGGTGGCACACCGGTTAGGACTCTCGCCAAACACACACATGGTGCGGGATTCTATCTACTGGATGATAGCTAACTGACTGAAACCACTGCACTATCATCTGCATGAGTGGAACCCTCTTGAATGAATGGGTTTCCTTTTATTTCTTCACGTTCCTCGTGGAACATAAGGCTTCAAGCTAGAGGCCTGAAGTTTCTGTAGTAGTGGTGTTTATCTTTACAGCATGGGGTTGCTAGCCAGCGTCATGTCCAACGTTTCCTTTTTACCAGCTTTTTTTATTATTGGCTTAGCGAGGTAAAGGAGTGCATCGGTGACCGGGGATCGAACCCCGGACCATGTGCATGGTCGGTGAGCGTCCTAACTGCTATGCTACCAACGCACTGAATGAATGGTATGGCTTAATCAAGATACTGACTGGTGCGTTCGCATCTTTTGGGTGTCTATATTTTATAACGTTAACACATAAACATTTATGACACACACCCACACATGCACTTCATGACGCAACATATACATACTATTGATTGACTGACTTATGGCTATCCGTAGGAATTTGGTACTCTATCCAAACCCAACCACCCACAGATGACAGAGCACAAAAACTAAGTAGTACCAAGGAAAATCTAAGACAGGAAGTGATACACATATAAGAAGCCTTGAAACTTAAAAATTACCCGGATAAATTAGTCAAGAAATATGTAAGTAAATGTAAAAATAAAATAAATAATGATAATAGCGATAGTGATAATAATAATAATGATAACAATAATAATGATAATAATAATATTAATGACGACACCAACAATAAGGAATGTAAATCATCAACAGTAATTCCATACAAGGAAGGAACCTCGGAAGCCTTACGCAGAATTCTTAACAAGGCAGGAATAAAAGTGGCATTCAAACCCACAAACTCAATTGGAAACAAGCTTTGTCGGTTAAAAGATCAATTTTGTGGAGCCATTAAAACAAAACAATTTAGTTTATCTAATACCCTGCTGGGATGATTGTCAAGTCAAATACATAGGTCAAACTAGTAGAACAGGGGCAGTCAGTCAGACTAGCCGAACATCAAAACCTAGAAAAATCTAGACTAGTTGACCCAAATAAGATAAGAAATCTAGAGAATAGTTCAGCTACACCACTCATTACATGCAATTACACCCATCCAACCATACAATAGCCTGGATGGGATAGGATGACAGTTTTAAAATCTAATGTCACAGGATGGAGGGAGGGAGAGATTGATAACAGAAGCTTTGTTTATCGAATCAACTGCAAATACATGTAATAGGAATGATTCAACACCTGTTCACCCAGATATCTGGAAAATTCTACTGCCCATACAACGACAAATAGGAGAGAACAAAGAAAACTATCAACCTCAAGTTTTGAAGTCGTGTGATCACAATTGATTGGTATGATTATGAACAATAAATTGTGTTCGAAACTGTGTCATCCAGTAAATAATACTGTTTCATCACTGTGTGATACATCTAATAAACAAACTAATGTGGAATTACTTACTACAACAGTGTCCAAGTTTTACACATATACCCAACCACCCACATCAACCGGTGGAAGCAAAGCTTGCGGGCCAGTCATACAGATCGAAACACTTCTTCTTCTCATCACTCTGTTTTACAAACACAACATACAACAAAACAAGTGAAAAAACAGAATATCATATATATTTAATTGTATAATATTTTTTTGCTTGCTGCATAAAGAGATTTTAAACATGAATTTAAAGAAAAATGGGGAGACAGACAAGAGGTAAGAGAAGTGAAAATCAAAATAGGGGGGGTTGGTTACTCAATGTATTTTTTAACAACAATCCATCTCAATTATTATCATTATTATATGCTTATAGTTATTATATACCGATCATGGATTCACCGACTACTTCACAGAAGGAGGAGGAGGGGCAGAAAAAAGAGGCAAAGTTAAGTGAGGGAAAGGAGAATGAACAGGCGAAGACGCTTCCTTTTGCCTTTCGTTATACAAAATTACCCCGTATTTTTTACGCGACTAATCAATATTGAATGAGGATACCACAATAATAGACGAATAATATTAGTAATGTGAAAAGATAGACAGACAGACAGATAGGTGGATAGACACACACATGCAAAGTAAGTGTAAAGACAGATATCATACACAAGATCGATCGATAGATAGATAGAGATACACACACACATTTGAAAAAAGTACAAGATCGATAGATAAACAGATAGTTAGAAAGACAGGCAGTGTACATACATATACACAAACGCACACGCCTACAGGCTACTAATTAACCAACCACAATCATTTCATCACATTCAATTCAGAGGAAGTAAGACAGACACGTAAATACGGACAGACACTAGAAAAATTAAGAGTGCAAGAATGAAATATATTAATAATAATTCATAAATCACGAAATACAAAGAAGCAAGAGGAAAGAAACAGTGAGGAGGGTAGAGGAGAGAGAGAGAGAGAAGGAGAGTTACAGAGTGAGGTAAGTGGAGAAATAATGCACAATGAATATATCTATACGATTGTTATTATACTATTACCGTCAATTACAATCAAATAGTTTGATTAAATAATAATAATAATAAAGACTACTGCAGCAGACAAAAAATATTAATACAATTGTGAGTGAATTTGATAGATAGATAGACAAACGGAAAAAAAATAAGTGTGAGACATCCGCCATTTTGTTTCAGAGAAACCAAAAATGAAGTGTGGAAAGAAAGAATTGAAAGAAAAACGAAAGAAAGGGAAAAAATATATAAACCAAGAGTTTTCTCCTCCTTCAATTTTAATTTTAGCCCACACATACACACACACACACTAACGCATACATAATAAAGAATGTACATGTACAGAGCACAGCATATTAATTGAGTTGGTATATATATGTGTGTGTGGGTGGGTGGATAAGTGTTTGTGATGTACAATATCTTCTTCTTCACATAGGAATATCGATACTCATTGTTGTTCCCGTCGTCGTCACTGACATAATGGTTTAGCGTAATTCTAATGTAAGCGTTTCTTGTGGAACAAGCTGTAAGTCAGCCAGGGTCATATTTTCATCTAGTAATGTTAACTTTAAAACAAAAAATGCGACAAAGACAATATTAAAACAATTAGTCCCCATTTGAGAAATTTGAATAATTTTTATTTTTATTTTTTTTTATTTTTGATTACAGCTTGATTCCACACTGTATTTTTGGTACAAGTATGGAATTTTCAGCAAGTGATATCGGAAGCCCAATTTTTGCAGGCCGACCATAGATATCAGGTGTGCGTCGGCGTGGGCTCGAACCTCGGACCATGTGCATGGTCGGCGAGAGTCCTAACCACTGTGCCACCGACGCACATTCAGAAGACAAATTTCGCGAGATGATATCATTTCGTAGTTTCTTTACAATCGCTCTACAACTAACATAGTTAACAATGATAAAATAAAATAAAGTTCATGAAAATTACTCAGTTAAATAAAAAACAAAAGTACATACTAATGACCAATCATATTCAGATAGGTCATGTAGTCCAGGGTAGGCGAAGATTGAAGTCTATTGATTTTTGTGCACACAGTTTAGGCTGTATGTGATTAATCCCCCAAAGTGCTTCCATCACCTTCAATAACCTTGAATTAGAGTTGTGTGATGAAATAATTGTGAAACAGTCATTAATATTGATTTTGTGACCTGACATTAATAAGTGTTTTGCAATGGATGATGATGCTGGATTTCTATTCAGATTGATCGGGTTAGGATTTTCGATATGATTTAGTAGCCATTTTGGAACATGATCTTTTCGACGACCACATTGGAACATTCTGTTGGAGAGATGATGGTACGATTCAGTGATCTATTTTTCGTAAACAGACATGGAGTGGACAATATCTTCATTTTACCAGTTTTGTTCCTATCCAGTATAAACGTTCCCTGGTGAAATGTTTGTTCTCGAGGGCCCGAAAAATAAGCACGAGTGACACATTGATGGATGAGCTTCGACGCATACATCCAGTTTCACTAGCTAATGGCTATCCAGAAAACTTCATCACTTGTCACAGTAAAGGAAAACCACATCTCGAAAAGATAACTTCTGTACCAAAGAAAGCTATCTTTATTAACCTACCTACCATTAAAGGGTAACCAGATTATGCAGTTGACAGCTCAAAGACTTCGATCAGCCATCAAACGTACATTCTACGCCGCCACATCTCTTTTTCTCACTAGCCGAACACTTCCGATCCCTGTTCCTACGATTAGAGGACGAAATTCTGTGGACTCTAGTACAAACTGTATCTACAGGTTCACCTGCAGCTGTGGTGACACCCACATAGGTAGAACCAACAGAATGTTCCAATATCGGCGAATAGAACATGTTCCAAAATGGCTACTAAATCATATCGAAAATCCCAACGCGATCAATCTGAATAGAAATCCAGCATCATCATCCATTGCAAAACACTTATTAATGTCAGGTCACAAAATCAATATTAATGACTGTTTCACAATTATTTCATCACATAACTCTAATTCAAGGTTATTGAAGGTGATGGAAGCACTTTGGATATATCACATACAGCTTTAACTGTATGTACATGTACCATGGACTACTTGACCTATTTAAATGTGATGATTGGTCATTAGTATGTACTTTTGTTTTTTTATTTAACTGAGTAATTTTCATGAACTTTATTTTATTATTGTTAACCATGTTAGTTGTAAAGTGGTTGTAAAGAAACTACGAAATGAAGATATCATCTCGCGGCAAAATTTGCTTTCTGAATACCTTATTCAAAAAGACAATAATAAACATGGACACAAATAATTGATATATATATATATATATATATATATATATATATATATACAAACATATATATACAACAGAAAATAAACGATGTTAAGATTAACAGCCTTCATTGGTGTTTACCGTCTCGAGGACCCCAACCAGTCAGTCAGGAAGTCTGCATCTTCCTTCGTAGCTAGCTGGCTCTAATTAACTGTTGTGGATTTGATTGACTGATGAAGCCATGTTTTGGTTTGACCACCACTAGCTCTTTTCCAGCCTGAACCTATATCAGCTAACATTACCCATTGTCGAGGAAGGCGCTGCATGGCCAGGCATGCCTATGTAACACATGTCCTAACCATCTCAATCGATCTAACTTCACAGCGGCATCTATTGATTCCCCCCACCCTAATCTTATCTAACTCCCGACGTTTAATCTCATTTGTCCTTGGCTGGCTGGCTGGATTCAACATAGAACTTGGCACCGAAGTGCAGCAGTTCGAGTTGCCACGTTCCAAATATAACACAGAGGTAGACAAGAAGATGAGTGAAGAGAATTAATAGAGTTTGACAAATATAAGAGTGAAACAGAATGGGTAATGGTAGAAAGGAATATGAAAGATTACAGAGATTGAATACATCTGCGCCATTGACAACGATTTTGAGCCATGTCACCTATTGTCTCCAGCCATTGATTCCTAGAGTCGCGAGGGCCCCAACCCGGGAGTCTGCATCTCCCTACCTGACTCAGTTTAACTGTCAAGGATTTCATGGATTGATGCCATGTTTTTGTCCTTGACGAAGCTAGCTCACTCAGCTAGTCACTAAGTAAAATCGCACACGCACACACAAACAAAAGAACTACACGATACAACATAAAAAAAATTTTAAGATAATGACGACGACTTACATCTCTTGTGGGATATGTAGTTAATAATTTATAATCAGATTTTGAAAAACCTTTAGATTCCATAAAAATAAATACATGCTTTAATAGATCAAGACCAGAAAATCGTCGAATAATTGTACCATTTTTTACACTTGTATCATCCGTTAAATGATTAACAACAGCAGTAGTACCAGGAGTAGTCTGTGTACTTGTCACTGTACAACCTTGTGGTAAACGAAATCGTAGAGTTGTTATACCAGCACTACCATGCGGTGTTGCCAAAAAGGCATCAGCTGCAGGAGTTTTAGGTGCTGGAGGCTCTGGTGGTAAACTTGCTGCCATCGACAAACGATGCTGTGTTGCTTTTAATTCATTGTGAATACGTTGTTCTTCTTCAAGTTGTCTGCGTCTATCCTCTTCAGCTTTGGCTTTAGCACGTTCCCATTCCTAAAGAATATATTTGTAGAATAGTAATTAGTAATAATAATAGTAATAATAATATTGATAATAATTAATTATAAATTCTCATTTCATAGGTAAATGATGACAGTGCCATATATATCAAGTGATTCATCATCACAATGGAAAATTCAACGAAGCCTATGAAGTCGAGGCTGTCTGTTATCACCCAGGATTTATTATTATTATTATTATTACTATTTCCTTTAATTCCTAGAGGAACATAGGGCTTCAGACGCGTGTCTCCACTGCGTTCGGTCCTCTCCTAGAGTTTTCACCTGACTCCATGTCTGCCCACATGCTTTCCTCTTCTCCTCGTCACATGACCTTCTCCATGTCACCCTCACACGGATGACCAACTCGCCGATTCCCGTTCGGGTTCCACTCGAGCGATGGCCCGTCTAGTGATCTCGCTTGATGGTTTTCTCAGAGTATGGCTAATCCACATCCATTTCTTCCTGCTTATTTGTTGCACAATCGCTTCCTACTGGGTTGGTTCGCTCCCAGAGATCCCAGTAGGTGATCTTTTCAGGGAAGCTGATCTTGAGTGGTATTGAACGAAGACAGCTGTTGATGAAGGTCTGCAGTTTGTTTGAGGTGCTCTTTATGACATGGCGCCAAGTCTCTGATATCCTCGTCAGTTCCGTCCGCCTGTAGTTGAAACGATGCTTCCCAGGTAGGTGGGTAGGTAAAGGAGATTGTTTCTTTCAGGTTCCTCCCATTTATGCTGGCTGATTGTTGTCTGTTGTTGTTGGCCAGGAATCTTCGGCACCTCTGTTTTCTCTGTTTACTTGGAGTCCTGTCTTTGATGCTTCTTCTGCCACAAACTTGTTGCTTTTCACTTGCATATCTTCCAGTTTGTGGGAAATCAGACATATACATCACATCGGCGAAGTCCAGATCCTCCAAGTTGATTTTGTGTGAGTTCATTTTATGCCTGTTTCCTCATTGCTCGCCGCTGTCTGTCGCATTATCCAATCTACCGCAATCAGGAAAATCATTGGAGATAATAGACAGTCACAGCCTTGTCTTACTCCCGTCTTCATTTCTTCGAAGGATTCCGTAAGTTTCATTCGCGTTGTGGATTACTTGGCATGCAGCATTATTGTACAACTGTTGGATGAGATGTATAATTGTCGGCGGCACTCAGGATGATATTCTTGATTCTGGTAGACTGGATCACATGCAGAAGACTGTAGGAAGAGAGTCAGAAGACTCCAGAAGATTTTGGACCTTGAGGACAACTTCTGTCTTGTGTCATCTACAGACAAAAACTAACCAGTTGGTAGAAGAAGCAGGCAGTGAAGACAGGACTCACCTCCCGATAACAACAACTACCAATCACTATCAATGGGAGAAATCCAGAAAGGAGATCACTTTTTTCTCACTCATTTAGTACAGCATCGTTTCAGATAGATACAGGCGCAGTTGATACGGTTGAGGAGATTGTAAAACTACACACCACAAAGCAGACCTGCATTAATCTGAAGGGTCAGTGTGTGAAAATTTACTGTACTAAGCATAGAAGAACAAGATTCAGATTTCCAAAACTAGTAGTGCCGATTCACCTTGTTGTTCTATGCGGTTCAGAGATTTGAAGCTCGTGCTAAAAGACTGTAGACTTTCATCAACAGTTGTCTCCACTTGATACTTAAGATCAGAGGATGACCAGAAAGGATTAGCAACAAGGAACTCCAAGAATGAAGCAACTAAGAACCTCACTAATCTGATGTGACCTAGCACTTTGTCTGAATTCAGATTTCAATGCAGACTTCGTCAAGAAAACAGCTGTTTTGTTCTAATTTCTAACTCTTCAGCAATGTGCAACCAAGATTCCACCAGGAATCGAAATCTGAACCTCCAGATTACAAGGCCAAGGCCATTGTGACTATTCAACCATTTTGGGTTGGATTTTCGCCACGAAACAACATCAGTTAGAGAGAGATCATTCAAAAACAGGAGAAACTGGACTCTTCACTAGTAAGAACCCAGGACCTTTCAGTTACAAGTCGAGCTCGTAGACCATCCATCCACTAGGATCCGACTCAATAACGATCAAGTTTAAAGATTGTCTACTTATAATATATGTTTTCGTCTTTTCTCTTATCGTTAAAACACTATATACACAGTGTGACACAACACAAACTAGATATTTATTACACACTAAATTGAAAAAGTACTTTAGCAAACATTTTAACATGAATGAAAAATATCTCTAGACAATGCGGTGGTTATCGATCGATCAACGAGAGATGTATTGTATGGTGTGCAGCAATTCGTTGTGAGATATAGCTACTGTGAAGGTGGGAGAAATCGAAAAAAAAACTGGCTAGCAGTTTTGTGACCACCAAGATGTTTGTGCTCTATCTCCTCTTCCTCCTCTAGTGTGAAATGATATCACACATATCTTCAAGAATTAATTTGTATTCAAGTGTTGGTTTGCAGGGATTTGATTAGTTTCAGGATTTCATCATGAGCTGACATTAGTTAGAGAACCATTGGAAAACCTGCATGGAGTACTGGACAGCTGTTTCGTCCTAGTTTGGGACTCTTCAGCAGTACGCACCCGCCGGGTCCCAGTGGCCTAACGATATACGAGCTCGCCTTGTAACCGGAAGGTCCTGGGTTCGAATCCCGGCGGGTGCGTACTGCTGAAGAGTCCCAAACTATGACGAAACAGCTGTCCAGTACTCCCTGCAGGTTTTCCAATGGTTCTCTAACTAATGTCAGCTCATGATGAAATCCTGAAATTAATTTGTATGTCGGCAGTACCCAGCGTTCGCTTTCCAAACGTATCACCGAACACACTTACCCACTGTGATGGTTTTACACAGGAGAAAAACGATGCCCCCTCCTCCCACAGCTCCATCTTAGAACATCTGATAGAATCCGGACACGAAGTTACACCCCCTCCCAAATAAACTTCAAAGTCCTCTACATAGTAAGAGGTAGTCTTCCTAAAGGTGTACGAAGCAGACTTCTTCAAACTGCAGAAGCAATAGCGATTGGTTCACTTGCTAAGTCCTGAACTTCGCATACACAAGACGTTCGTTCAATTACTACACTTGCAGCAATGGACGTAATCTGTCATATTACCCTACAAGTAAATTCTAACTAATCTTTTTTCTTTTTGCATGTCTCTTCATTAGTATTATTTTGTCTTTTCAGTTATAATATTTTACATTTTCAACTTTCTTGTTCTCTACCCCCACCCGATTTAATTTCTACACCTCACTACACTACCACATGGTTATTGACTTGACCATCGCCTAATTTCTAGTCATTTATGTTACGTCATCCAACTGATTTGCTCAATTTCAGTTCTAATTCAAAAATGGCATTATTCTCTGCCCCACTTCTACTCAGTTTCTACCTGTAATTACCTCTGTTGCTACATCCTGACCTAAGTTGAAACATTTTAGTCAACTATATTACGTCATCATCTAACTTACTAACTAACTAACTCAATCTTACTTTAGTTGCTGTCAGATTAACCTTGTTTCTATATTAGATCATTCTTTTATTACCTGATCAATTATCTAAACTTGACAAACCTCATGTACACACACATATACACACATAAATAATTATATATAAATTCGATTGTACAACTATGTGATTGTACGGATTTTGTTTCTTTCAGGTTAGACCATGGAGTGATTGATATCAGTTAGAGAACCATTGAAAACCACTACTGGAGTGTAGTGGACAGATGCTTCGTCCCACTGGTTTGCGACTATCCATTAGAATTGACTTTTATAGGGATCGGACTACGGATGGATATCAGTTGGAGCTTGTTTTGTAACCAGCAAGTCCTGGTTTCGAAGCCCTTGAGTTGGGTGCACACTGTCGAGGAGCCCCAAGCTAGGACCAAACAGATTGTCCAGTACTCCCTGGTTCTCTAACTGAAAGCAATCCGTGGTCTAAGCTGATATGACATATGGTAAGTAATATATCTTTATTATTATTATTATAGCTTGATTCCACACGGTATTTTGGTACAGGTATGGAACTTTAGGCATGTAATATCGGTAGCCTGAGTTTAACAGGCCGACCATTGGTATCGGGTGTGTGCGTCGGCCGAAGTTCAAACCCCGGACCACGTGCATAGAGTCAGCGAGAGTCCTAACCACTGTGCCACTGACGCACAGGTAAGTGTACACTTATCAATCAACTTCAGAATCCCCATCCACTTCCCCGACCGATAACTGCTACCTTGTCGTGGTGGTAAGGCTTGAATACCGTAATGACACAACATGCTAAACTGACTGGGACCCATGCCCCTGCAAGTCCGACCATGTCAGAAAGGTTGTTTGGATAGCGGTTAAACTATAAGCAGTTACCATGGGGTGCATGGACTCCAGTATCCAATCGGATCAAATGGCGTATGAACCCATATGGGTCACAGGAAACCATGGGAATGCAGCTCCTGATAAATAAATAATAATAATCCACTTCTACGATTTGAAGAAGTTTCTTGTGTACTCTCTCTCCTTTAGATTCCAATGTATTCTGTAGATAGATGACTCTGAAGTTGGTTCGCGACTTCCTTCAGAAAACCTAATCGGATCTCGATACGAAATGTGAACTTGCGTAAACCAACTGACTTCAGAGACATTCACAAAATATATGGGATTCTTCCTAAAAGAAGTACAAATGAAATTATGCTGAATCTCGAAATCTGCATGCAGAAAAAGTTTGACCAATCAATCATCACTGAACCTATAACGTACCTGATCTGTTTTAACACACCGGATATGGGATTTTCTGCTTTTAACAATATTATGCCACCCCACCCCCACCATATTGCATTTCTACCCCCTTATTATCACTCCTCTTACATTGATTGTCATTTAATTCTAGTTGAATACTATTCATGAAAACAAAACACGTAGATCAGCGAAGAGTCTCTTTTCGGCGAATTCCGACTCTTCGCTGATCTACGTGTTTTGTTTTCATTAATGCCTGGATGGGGATTATCCATGAATACTATTCACTCCAGTCAGTTGAACTGTATTACTCATTATTTAATTCCATTTGGATTTTCCTGTTGATTGGTTGGATCGAAGTCTACGACCTTCTGTTTAGATGGCCAAATCGAAACCTGACATCATCTGTATAAAGTCTTTGACTGTTGGTTAGCTTGAGACAGCCACGTAAGAGAATGAAGACTACGTATGTACCTGTTTAGAGTCCGTCAGACGCTTAGAACCAATGCCTTGAGACAAGGTGGAAGATAAATTCACTCCTATTGTGATTTTCGCAGATCCATTTAACCCTCTTTATTCTTTATGTAATCACTCTTTCTGGGGACTATTTAACTCGATTAGTTTTTTTTATCATTTTAACCGTCTACTTTTCAAATGGCGAACATAGGGCTTCAAGCTTTGAAGTTCTAATCGTCGTGATGCTGTTTTTTTTATATGGAGTGAGGTTATTTGCATTCCACCCAACCTTCTCCATCTACCAGGCTAACTACTAGCTTAGCCAGGTTTAGGAGTGAGTCAGTAGCCAGAGGTTGAACCCCAGATCACTTATAGCGTGGTTGACGATCTTTCCATCGCTGCTGGACCATTAGCCACACACTCCTGATGCAGATTTGTGTATTACCTTTTCTCTTATCTTTAATATTGCACTTCTGGACTACAGCACCAAATTGAATGTCACTATTTGCATAATGGTACTTTTATTGCCTCGTCATGTGACCGAACTGATAAACACCTTGACTTAATGGTGTACATGCATTAAGTCGATAGGTGAACTTTTATTTTTTCTTTCGTTTTGTTTTGACTAGACAAAATATACATTTATAATATATATAAAATTACTATTAATACGGAAAACAAGCTTCTTTGTTAACTAACTAACTAACCATGAAGTCATGATTTCGACATATGCTGATATAATAACCTGATTGGTCAGATTTTTCTGATTGGTTGATTTATGGCTTCACCTTCTGAGAGACTGTCGCGTCGTACGACCAATCAGATTGGTCTATTTATTATTTACGGCTTAAATTATTTCTGAAGGTTCGTAAAAATGATATACCACACGGTTGTTGTTGTCGTTTTCCGCCAGTCTAATTTTTGTATCTTTCACACTGTAGGGGATATTTTTTTTAAAAAGTGATTTATAGTGTCTTGTCTGGAGGTGCATTCTAGTCAAGTTAGATAAACCGGGTAAATCACGTCGTCATAACAATTAGAATAGACAATAAAAAGGTAGCTTTGCTATTTTAATATACACATAAACACACACACCGGACCCAATGCCTGGAAGACTGTTGATGATATTTTGAACCACATTCTTAACATACTTCACAGCCAGTCTACATCTGCTTGAAATGAGTGCTTCATACCAATAGTCAAAGAATTCATGAATTAGTTTCATCATCTCTTATTCTTTGCCAACACAACGCAATATCAGTTAAAATTTCTGTCCAAGGAAGATGATGCCTTGGCTATTATTAATAATAAATACTCTAGTTATCTGAATCGATACAGCATCACAATTTATCGATTGACACCCCTTTATTACCTAAAACTCACTCTATCTGCCTACCTGCCTGTTCTCGACATAGAACTCTGCACCGATGTGTAGCAGTTCAAGTCGACACACTCCACTTCTTGTAGCACAAAAAGCAAGAAAATAAATTAGAAGAAATGCAAAATAGAGACAGTAAACAGAGATAACAGACAAAAAGAATAGTAATATCGAAGAACAATACAGTTTCATTAGATATCATAAGTCTCAAGGAGTGGATATATCTGCGCTAGCCATTGACAACGACGATTTTGAGTCATATCACCAATTGTTTCCAACCATTGGTTGTTACCGTCCCAATTAGGAAGTCTACACCTTCCTACGTGGCTTAAACTTAACTGTCGCGGATTTCACTGACTGGTGAAGCCATGTTTTGGTTTGACCACCATTGGCTTTCTCTTTTCCGAACTGAGCTCATACCAGCTTACATTGCCCAGTGGCAACTCGAACTGCTGTACTTCGGTGCCAAGTTCTATGTTGAATCCAGACATTGCCCACTGTCGAGGAAGGCGATGACTAGGCTACACGAGACATACGTAACACATGTCCTAACCATCTCAATCGATGCAACTTCACAGCCTCGTCTATTGATTTCCCTTCCCTCCTTACCTAGCACTCGACCGATGCCTAACCTCAATATTGCTCACCTTATTAAACCCACTTCACGCAGGAGATAGAAGGCAGTCACTTATGATCAAAGACTGCTTATCTTTTCATGTCTTCCACTCTCAGTGGCCAGGTCTCACAGTCATAAAGGATAATGGAGCCGACTGCTGAGCAGTACACCCGCCCTTTAGTCGATAGCCTGATATCACGTCTACGCCAGAGACGGCGTAAAGTGGCATATGTGAAACTAGCCCTCTTTATCCGTGCACAGATTTCGTCAGAGATCAACCCGCTGGCGTTGGGGCTGATGCAACTTCTCAAATAAGTGAAGCGGTCAACGTGCTCTACCACTTCACTCCCTATTTCTAATCTGGGAGTCAGTGTAGTCCAGTCCTGTAAAATCATCTTACATTTGGTGGGAGCGAATCTCATGCCAAACATTTGAAGACTGCAGCTCAAGGTGTTCAGAAGACTCTACGTTTTGTTAGCGTCCTCGCCTAGAAGGACTATATCGTCTGCATATTCTAAGTCAATGAGATTATTCCCTGATAGAAAGTCAATTCCTGAGTCGCTGCAGTGAGTTAGGGTTTAGTCCATTAGTACATCTATGATGCATCTATGCCTAACTTCATTATAAATTAATGGCTATGTCGCACCATCTAAGAACAAGAGATAGAACGCACAGAGTTGTGGTAAAAAAACGACAACGACGACGACAACAACAACCAGAACAACCAGACTCCACAGACATAAAGATGGACAGACAGAGAGAGAGAGGTGCTGGACAGTATCCACGTGATTTGATCGATATAGCTATATTTTTTATGTATTTGTGTTCTCTGAACTAGCTTAGCTGGATGGTTTATTTGCGAAGCTTTCATTGCCTTACACCACTAGGCAATAACATCTTCAGCGCATACTTCAAATTTGACGAAGGAAGCTTTTAAATTTCTCCACGAGTTTATTAGTCACTTTCAAGCCGCGAGGGTGTTACTTACATAAGCGAAACGGTGAAAGCGAACGTCTGGCACTTACAACCCGACACTGATGGACGGCGTAAGTCTATCACAGCCTAGGCTAGCTGGAAAACTGATACCAAGCCTATAGTGTAAATGGGCGGCAGAATCCGAGAGGATAAAATGGCATATGAAACAGTTTTCATCATGGGAAACCATAGGAACATAGCTGCACTGCCCTGTGGATGAGACATCAAGTCAAAGGTTCGCGGGGTATTGGCCGTTTAAGACATTCATTCCCCTGCTTCAATCTGGGCATCCAGGCAGTATCCCAGCTCTCTCACAAACTATATATATATATATATATATATATATATATATATATGAAATTAAACGATACAGCCTCACCTTTTGTTGATCACGACGCAAAGATTCTTCATAAGCAGCTTCTTGTTCCTCTAGAACACGTCGACGAGCGATCAGTTCTCTTTCTATAGCACATTCTGGTTCTAAGACTTCAAGATAATTTGTATAAGCTTGCCAGAGTTCAGCAACAATTACATCAGATTTTAAACTGCCAACTCCCGTTGGTGTTGTTGTTGTTGCAGTTCCAGTTGAAGCCTCACTATCATGGATTTGTTGTTGTTCAGTAAAACGATTCATTGATAATGTTAAAGGATTATGTGCACCCAGCGGGGGGAATGGATCTAACGGCCACATTTTTACAATTCCAGTACCCATTACAATACATAGTACTTCCAGTTGACCAGATAACTTGACAATCATAGCTAGAAGTGGATAACTGTCCACCTGTAATGAAGAGAAGAACAACGACAACCATAATGGTAATGAGATATAAGAATAAAAATTGAGCACTGTAATATAATGTAATAATAATAATAAATAATTTTCCTTCACGTTCCCAGTGGAAGTTTCTATTTATTTTATTTTTGATTACAGCTTGATTCCACACCGTATGTTTTTGGTACAGGTATGGAATTTTCAGCATGGATATCGGTAGCCCGAATTTTGCAGGCCCACCATAGATACAGGTGTGCGTCGGTAGGGGATCAAACCTCGGACCATGTGCATGGTCGGCTGGAGTCCTAACCACTGTGCCACCGACGCAGTGTTTATTTTTACAGGATGCGGTTGCTAGCCAGCCTCATGCCCAACCTTTCCTCTTTACCAGCATTACTTCTGGTTTAGCGAGGTAAAGGGGTGCGTCGGCCGGGGATCGAACCCCGGATCATGTGCATGGTCAGCGTGCGTCCTAACCACCCTGCCACTGACGCACAGCGCTGTGGTAGTGAATAATTCCATTATGGGTAAATTTTTGTTTTGATAAAGCCTCACAGTGTTGTTATACAGTAATGTTTATTGATGACCGTGTTTCGAGCACAATTTATTACTGCTCATAATCACATCAAGGTAATAATCACGCGACATCTAACTTCATTTATATAGTTCCAACTATCCTTTAAAATTCATTAGGAAGATTGAAAAAGGCCAAAAGAAAAATAAAAATAATTGTGAAACTAGTAATAATAACATACATAACTGTCTGTCTGTTTTCGACATAGAACTTTGCACAAATGTGCGGAAGTTCAAGTCGCCACACTCCGTGTAGCACGCGAAGCAAGAGAAGAAAGTACAAGAAAAGCATAATAGAAACAGTGAGCAGAGGTGTGAGACAAAGGAGTAATAAAGAAATACAAAACAGTTTCATTGAAGATCATAAGTCACAGGGAGTGGATGCATCTGCGCCACTGAGAACGGTTTTGAGCCATGTCACCAACTGTTTCCAACCATAGATTTTTACCGTCCCGAGGACCCCAGCCTGGAAGTCTACACCACAACATAAATAACAGAGAATATAAGTCATCTACAGTTATACATAGGATTCTAAATAAATCAGGAATTACGGTGGCATTTAAACCAACAAACTCACTCAGGTAGGACAAGCTCTGGAGGTTAAAGGACCCTGTCGGTTGACCCAATTAAACTAAATAATATAATTTACAAAATACCCTACAATGACTACTGTGAATTAAGTCAACTAATTACGTCAAACTAGTAGGTCAGGGATAGTCAGATTGTCAGAACATAAGAATTTAACTAAGGTAAAAATGGTTAACCCCGAGAAGATAAGTAATTTAGAAAAAAGCTCTGCAATCGCGCTTCATGCAACTACACAATAGGGTGGGTGGGAGAGGGTTAAAATTCTAAAAAGTTATCTAGGTAGATGGAGAGCAAGAGAGGTTGATTACTGAATTCTTGTTCATCAAATCTACACCCAACACATGCGATAGGAATGACTCATCACGCATACTCAAAATATGGAAAATACCGGTACCAATCAAATCAAGTGAAAATCAAATGAAAAATAATAGAGCTATATAAATGAAGTTAAGAAGTCGTGTGATTATTACCTTGATATGATTATGAGTGGCAATAAATTGTGCTCGAAACATGGTCATCAGTAAAAATTACTGTATAATACTGTAAGACTTTATCAAAACAAAAATTTACCCATAATGGAATGAAAATGACAATCAAACCATAGAAAAACAAACAAGCCGTCATCAACTGTTAACATGTCATGGGATCAATATCAATGGTGATTACTATTTAAACTTTTGTAGGTTTTGTAAGGAATGATATTAAACGGGAAAAACTAGGGGAGTACTCAACAACACTCAGGGAATCAGATGAAAGTGATGCTTTATCATGAAGTGGGATTGCAGCTGTGGAGTTGGAGGGGGGGGGCATTGAATTCCAATCGAAATGCAAAGGATGATTAATAATGGCTGTATAAAGAGTGCAATAATCGAACATCTCGCCACCAACACTAGTTATTCCACCTCAACAAACGCCTCCTCCTTAAAAGTAATCTACAAAGTGAAGAACAATCTGTCAAAGACAAAACGTTTCTGTCGTCTTTACATCGCAGAAGTCCTAGTCATTCAGTTGGAAGAAGCAGAACCATGCGTACAAAAGAAAATTATTCAACCACTTCTACTCTCATGGTAGGAACTCTGTTGATTTCACCTAACTTTTGCTCGTATGCTTATTTTTCTAACTACTTAAAACCTCTGCGTAATTCCGTATGTTATTTTGTTTCCATGTGCACCCTGAGTACAACGCTTTCATCAGACTATTCACGTTATTACGTAACTCTTCTTTAATAATCGATTGTGACAACTCATCCCTTTTGTTACTACCCTCATATATCAACATCCGATTCATCTGAACTTACTAATCGTATTTTCGTTTGACAAATTTAATGTACACACATACAAAACAACCATATATATATATATGCGATTGCACAGCTATGAAAATGAATTCGTCACCACCGAGAAGAGACTCTTCGCTGAACTACTGGTCTTCTGTCTATTGATTAATAATGATCATGAAATTTCTACTTGCGTCTTAGGAGATTGTAGTCAGCCTAAACCATTGGGACATTTCATGCAACTAATGTTATTGGTTTTGCTTTCGTCGACGACTGGTTTTATCAGTCCTCAAACTCAGAAACACCCCCGCCCCCGATTCCAGCGAAGAAGTTTCCTTGGTGATGGAGTGGTTATTTACGAAGCTTGAGGGTTGCGCTAATCACACACACACACACACAGCTAACTTTCCCGATTTTTTAGGATTAGAATAGCTAGGAAACTACGTCAGAGATAAGTTTGATCACAGATTGATCTCAGTTAGGGAACAACTGAAAACACATAAGGAGTACCAGTTCGGTAGTCTTGAACAGTGCTCAGTCAACCAGGGATCGAGCCCGGAACCTCGTTGACCATTGAGAAACTGGGTCAGTTGGATTTCAGTAACACATGAATCCAATCCGGGATATAGCCTTGACGTCAGACAACGGCATCGATGAGCATCCGCTCCACAAGTGACATGGTTGATCCTACGACTTCCTCGCTAGAGCTTCATGACATCCATCTAGTAGCTAGTAATGACCTGGCTTTTGTAGAGAGATAATTAGTACTTTCAGTATAGATTTCATCACAAACCAGCACATATCAGGGAGGGGCGCTGAACAGTTACAGAGTGTAAAGCCAGGACGAAACAAGTGATATTTACTTCAAATTTTGTCACGGAATGTGATACCATTTTAGAGAACCATTGAAAACACACAGGGAGTACTAGACAGTTGTTTAGTGCTAGTTCGGGACACTTTGTCAGTAAGTATTTATTTGATTGCATAAATGACTATAATACAGAAAGGTAGTCATATAAAAACAACTAAAATAGATAGAAGTTAAACCCTACCCCTAAATATCCTAGCATGAAAAGAACGCTATCAGCATAAGAGTAGAAACTGAGCGATTATGATGCAATTGGATACTTAAATATAGCTGCATAAGACTATGAAAAGAAAATATCAGTCTGATGCTCACTAGTGACGACTGACCCTATTCACGCGGGTATATACCTCGGTTCTAATGCGAAGTTGTGACCAGTGGGGTGCAGCTAGTCGGGTGTGAGGACAAATACTCGCCAGTGATGACATTGTCTAATGGTCACGCCATATCGTGAATTGGTAGAATTTGGAATTCATGGGCTGGTCATTGTATCTGATTCCAGTGGTTTATGAGCCTATCCTGTAACCGGAAGGTTCTGAGTTCGAACCGTGGGGGCGGGTGAGTACTAATGAATAGTCCCAAATTAAGACAAAACAGTTGTCCACTACACCCTGGTGGTTTCTTACCGATATCATGTCATGATAAGATCCTGTGCGTCGGTGGCACAGTGGTTAAGATGCTCGCCGACAATGCACATGGTCCGAGGTTCGATCCCCTGCCGGTGCACACCTGATATCTATGGTCGGCCTGCAAAATTTGGGCTACCGATATCACATGCTGAAAATTCCGTACTTGTACCAAAACTAGGGTATGGAATCAAGCTGTAATAAAAAAAATCAAATCCCTGGAAACTAACAACAGAAAATTTCACGTGTTTAACTTTGAGACTCACACAGCCCAGGTATGACTATGAGGTGACATTTTGGGCTACATACCAGCAGCAACTTTCATGTCATCCAAGCTAAATAAAACATATAGAAATCTTTTTCAATTCATATTTTAGCGTCAAATATCTAAACTATATATAATACTTATATCATTATGTGAACATAGCAACGAACTATGGAGCCATATTAAGCCCTGCTGTTGTTGGGATAAGCTATAAACCCACTATTACTCATGAAGAAGCAGCGAAAAACCCTGAGTCGAAAAAAATTTCTGCTACAAAAGGAAAATCTGTGTGGGAAAAAATACAAAATAAAATTAAGGAATAGTGTGTCTTAGATTAAATCTTGACACCATCGTTTTTAGTGGACGCAGAGTGGAGAGGAAGTGGAGAGCTATCAAGTCGAGGAGTTGCATCAGTGGAAGGAAGGCAAGATGATAGAGATGAAGATGAAAACAAAGATGAGTGAGTAATAGAGAGGTTTCGTGTGCATTTCGGATTGTGAGGGCGATTGTTACTTCCCGGCTGCCCACACCGTGGAAGTTGGTTGCGTGACCGCAGAGCCCAGGGGACAACTGCTTGAGGCCGGTCACACGCGGCCTGTTTTTGTTCGTTCTCTTTTGTTTGGTGTGCCTCAGTAGCATACTTATCACTCCTGCCCTGTGACACGGCAGCAGGAAGCGCGGTCGTTGTCAATCCGGGCCACGGCCGATCCGGCATGAAATTTTGTGATTTTGTATTTATCATGATGTTGGATTGGGTAGCTGCTTTTTGTTTAACCGCTATCCAAACAACCTGCCTGGCATGGTAGGACCTCAAGA